CTGTTTTGTTTCTTAAATTTGACTGGATTGTTTTTTAAATTTGGCTATAGTATATCTGCAAAAGTGGGATGAAATTCCATAAATCTTCCATTGTCTCAATCTTCTCTTACTGCAATGATTCAAAAACTGATATTTAGGGATAATCAGAAAGAAAAATAGAATTTTCCTGAGAAGTGTGTTTAACCAGTAATAAGCCTTCCCCACCTCCCCCTTTTATAAACCGTAGGGACTTCCCAAACCTTTTAGTTATTATGCACTGGAACCCTCCAAAAGGCGGATTTAAAGTGTAGCCTTTCTCCAGGTTGAACAGGGAAGCCTGGTTTTAGAGTACCAGTTAACAGCCACTGGCAGTGGTGCCTCTGTGATTGCAATCTGCCTTCCCTCTATTCCAATACCCTTTGCAGTAATAAATCATTCTTTCAGTTGTGCAGTAGCATGTAAGAGCTGCCTGCTTAATCTTTAATTGGTTAAGCAGTTACAAGCCCAAATTACATAGTGTGAAAAATATCACAATAGATCACAGTATTGTCAATTTCCCCTGAAGAACTCTGACATTCTCAAGCTTAACAAAGCCCATCTCTGTCACACATTAATTATTGCAATGTCCTTGAAATCGAGAATAGCGTAGTTATTACTATTTGCAAAGAGAGCATACTTCTGTGTCCTGCATGTCAGCCTGTGTGTGTGTGTGTGTGAGTGTGTGTGTGTGTGTGTGTGTGTGTGTGTGTTTGAAGGACACATAGATATTGAAATAGGGCCACCTTTTCTGTACATCATTGCTCAAGTGCCTTTATATGTGTTCCTTCCACCCTGGCCAACTTATCTTTTAAGGCTCAGATTATGTCCCCTCCCCCAGGAAGTTTCCCCTCACTTCTCTTTCTCCTTCATTTAGGTGCTCCTTGTCTGGGCTCCCATAGCACTCCATTCATTAAGTCCACAAACACACACTGGGTAATTTCCATAGCAGGCATCTAACTTGGTACTGGGAATTCAAAGATGGATAAAAGCAATTCCTCAAAGAGTTAAGCCCCAGCCCAAGCCCTTTCCAGACTGTATGGGTCACCTGTCTCTGTTATGGGACTATGTCTGGTATAAGGTAGCTGTTATATTAATAAACGGATGAATAACTAGAAGACCTCCACTTCAGTAATTTTATTTTTTTAATGTTTATTTATTTTTGAGAGAGAGAGACAGAGTATGAGTAGGGGGAGGAGCAGAGAGAGAGGCAGACACAGAATCTGAAGCAGGCTCCAGGCTCTGAGCTGTCAGCATAGAGCCCAACATGAGGCTCAAACCCATGAACTATGAGATCATGACCTGAGCCCAAATCAGATGCTTAACTGACTGAGCCTCTCTTCAATAATATGTTAATAATCAAAAGCTTTAATGTGTAATGTACTCCAATTAAATTTCACTGAAAAAACTGGTACTAAAAATTAAGTCTTGGTGCTGAGATGGTGGGGGAGGTTCAACACTGCTCAAGTATTGTGGCAGTATTAATTAAACAAGAAGGAAAGATGGAGTCTCAAACACTGGCTTGTTTTGGGCATAAGTAAGTTAACCTGAGTCCCAGGGCTTATTACAACTGGTCCTCAAGAGAGGCAGGATAATGTCCTCTCCCCTTCTCTGACATTCCTTTCACTCCTCCACCACGATCCATCCCATCGAATCGAGCACAGTCTCTAGAATATGGCCTATGTGATTTCTGTCTCTGATGAAATTTCTGGCACTAAAACATGCCATTGAAAAAGATTGTTTTTGCCTACATTAATCTAATTGTTCTGTAAAAAAGCAACAATTACTGAATAATGGAGAACTTTGCTTCTAGTATTAGTCTGTTATTTAGATAGCTAGAAAAAAATAGACAAGTTTTAAAAATACTTTTTTTCCTGCTGAATTTTTCACTCTGAATAAAGCACAAAGAAAATCTCACTATGATATAATTATTAAGCACTGTTGGTTTGTTTTGATATAGCCGAACTTTGTTATGATAAATTGTTTAAAAATAAAACCTATATCATCCGTTTGCCAAAATAGGCGGGGGAATAGAGATGATTTCCTGTCTCCATGTCTCAAATTTCAAGTAGAAAAGTGTTGTTGAACCCAGTAAGCAGAAAGAGACTTTCCAGGGACTCAACTCACAGCCTTTCTCCGTCCATGTGTGGGTGTTTGTGCATTGTAATTACTATCTTTCACCACAGGGACCCTTGAGAGGAGTTGAAAGATTTTAACTCTTTTAAGTAATCTATGAAACAATTATTTGTTGAGCTTATTTTATGAGCCTCTAGAGCCCAAAACTTCAATCTGCAAGTCTTCTCAAAACTACCAAATAATTCAGTTCTGCGGAGGTACTTTGACAGATGGGTAGACACAAAAGAAGCTTTGCAGCATAGCAGTACTTGTGGTAGGGTACTGTTTGTACCCGCCAGGCATTGTTGGAACACAGAGGTTCATGATACAAAACCCCCAAGAGAAGTGCTTATGAAAGGCATTTTTCCACATTGGACAATGTTTTTCCCCAGAAAAAGAAACTTCTCTTCCCTGCATAGAGAGAGATTCAAAGATTAAGATGCAACACAGTAGAGGGGTAAGAGCATAGAGTTTGAAACCTAGGCCACCTGGGTTCAGATCTCAACCCTGCCACTTAATAGCTGTGTGACCTTGAGTAAGTTACTTAACCTCTCTTTTCCTTAATTTTTACACCTGTGAATTGGGGGTGATTGAGAATAGTCCTTACCTACTGATTCAAAACTGGTATTGAGGGATAATTGGGAAGGAAAAAAAGGATTTTCCTGGAAACTGTTTAACCATTAATAAATCTTTTTTTTTTTACTTTTTTTTAAGTATAGAGAGATCACAAACATTTTAGTTAGCTATTGTACATTGAAATGCTGCAAAAGGAGGGATATAAGGTGCAGCTGTGAGTGGTATGATATACAACCAATTAACTAATACCTGCCGAGTGGTTGTTTTTTTTTTAATGTTTTATTTATTTCTGAGAGAGGGTGAGAGACAGCATGAGCAGCGGAGGGTCAGAGAGAGAGGGAGACACAGAATCAGAAACAGGCTCCAGGCTCTGAGCTGGCAGTCAGCACAGAGCCTACGTGAGCTCAAACCCACAAACCGTGAGATCATGACCTGAGACTAAGTCGGACGCTTAACCGACTGAGCCACCCAGGCGCCCCCTGCCAAGTGTTTACAGTAGTGGCTGGCACATAATTAGTGCTACAGTCGATTCCATTTATCCAGGTTTCACTTTCCTGGGTCTCCGTTACTGGTGGTCTGGAGGCAGATGGTCTGGAGGCAATTCTGATGAATTGGCAGGAGGTCAAAAGTAGCCTAACGCTGCGTCACAAAGCCTAACGCATTCATCTCCCTCCATTTCATCACGGAGGCATTTTATCATCTCACATCACCACAAAAGAAAGGTGAGTACAGTAAGCTATTTCAAGAGAGGGACCACATTCTCATAACTTTTATTGTAGTGTATTGTTATAATTGTTCTCTTGTGATTAGTTATTGTTGTTAATAATAATATTGTTGTTAATAATAAACAGTGCCTAGTTTACACGTTAAACTTCAGGTGTGTATGTGTGGGAAAAAACATAGTGTACATAGAGTTCGGTACCCTCTGTGGTTTCAGGCATCCACTGAGGCTCTTGGAACATGTCCCCCACCGGTAAGGGGGGACTACTGCATCATTATTAATACCCTCCCCAATTCCTACTCCAACATTTGGCCCTTTTCGCAGTGGTCGTATGAGCAATGAGTGCCCTAAAGCAACTTAAAAAACTAGAGCAGATATGTATCTTTTAGTGTGCATGAAGGAAGTCTCTCCCCAAATGCACATGGCTAGAAGTTAGACTTGGAAGTGGGAAGCAGTCACTTTGAGAACCCCACCCCATATGCTTCCCTAGACAAACCACTTCCTGTCCCAACATTATTTTCATGTAAGAGGAAAATAAACATTTAAAGACAGCTGGAATGAATCAAGGCTCCATATAAGGATACAAACTGATGCCTGTCGTTACCAGCTGCCAAATCCCAGAAAGGACTATCTCTGAAACAATACAGAGCAAATTGTTAGTTGGGGAAGGGGAGGAATGAAGTTTTTTTTTAAAGTCACTATTTGCTATGAAGCATTTCAGGGAGAGAGAGGGGAGAGACAGAGAAAGAGGCTCTGGTTTGTACTAAAAAGGAATTAAAATAAAAAGCAGACTCCAGGACCCTGGACAAAGGAGCCCTTGTCTTAATTTCAGTTCTGTCACTGACAAGCTCTGTGATGTGAACTTGGATGAAACCCTCAACCTCCAAGGCTTCCGTTTCCCCAGCTGTAAAATGAAGGAGTTAACCAGATGATCTATAAGATTTCCTACAGCTCAGACATTCTATGACTTTACGAAATAAAATAGATATTAGATCTTATATTCAGCAGGCAACAGAAGCCAACTTTTGGCTGGAAACTTAAGCAGGAAAAGGATCTTTTTGCAAAGGTATTATTGGTAGCTCACAGACTCAAAGGGAAGGCTAGAGAACCAGGCTGTGAACCAAGGGAGTTTGGTGGGAGTTCGGGGTGTATTGGGGGAGTTTAAAAGCAGGAATGACTCAACTCTGCTGCTGGAGTGAATAAGCTCCAGTCATTTTTCTCTCGCCGGTACATCATTGCACCTATAAATCAAAGTCCTGATACAGAAGGTCAAATTGGTCTAGCTCTGGCCACACATCATCCTTTGGCTGATTAGCAAGAAACTTTGATTTACAGTCTCATCAGGACATTGTTCCAGGGGCTCCTGGGTGGCTCAGTGGGTTAAGCGTCCGACTTCAGCTCAGGTCATGATCTCACAGTTCGTGGGTTTGAGCCCCACGTCGGGTTCTGGGCTGACTGCCAGCTCAGAGCCTGGAGCCTGTTTCAGATTCTGTGTCTCCCTCTCTCTCTGACCCTCCCCTGTTCATGCTTTCTCTCTCTCTCTCTCTCTCTCTCTCTCTCTCTCTCTGAAAAGAAAAAAAGACATCTTTCCATGGGTAGACATCGTTCCTTGGGTGAAAGGTAATTCCGTAAAAGGAAACTGGCATAAGGTAATGAAAGAAAGATAATGACTACTATGTGGCTCTTCACTACAGATCTACTTGCTTTTATAATATCAGACACTGATACCACTCTTCTGTGTGAGAATAGATGGGCTATTTTTACAGTCCATCTGAAAATAAACATAATGTTGGAGGGAGACGATGTTGTCGTGACAACTTTGTGGATGGATACCCATCATGAAAGTTTGGGCACCAACACATGCTTGAAGAAGAGCCTTAGCACACCTTAAGAGATTGTTCTGGGCAGGGAGGGGTGGGGTGGAACCAAGCCTGTGTTTTATTTTTAAATGCATCTCACTGTACGTCTCCTTGGAATTGAGGAGGAACATTCACACGGGCACCTGACAGTCTTTCTTCTTCTTCCGTGTTTACAGAGCCCTGTTTTGATTCTGATGGTCAATTCCTCTCTCCTCCTTAAGAACCAAGCAAATCTTGATTCTACTATCCTACTATCCCCAGTCATTGATTGGTTTAAGAGTGTGTCTGTGATCCAATATCCGATGCTCTGACATGAGGAGAAATCTGGAGAGCCTTCTTGTAATGGTTTCTTTACTCTTAAAAAGGACATTGTGGAATTAGGGGATGATTGCTGGTGCTGTGGTATCACCGTTTAATCTCTTCTTGAAACTGGGAGAGGGACAAAGCCAACAAGTTGATGATGGCAGAGAGGAAAGTGGAGGAAAACCTTGGGTGCTTTTTTGAGTTCTTGAATTTGCCAACTGGAAGCACCTTCTTCAGAATTCCTGTTAGGTAAGACAACAAATCTTTTTATCTTTTAAGGCATTTTGATATGGGCCTGTTATTATTTACAGATGAAAGCATCTCATCTTAGGGCACCTGGGTGGCTGAGTTGGTTGAGTGTCCAACTCTTGATTTCAGCTGGGGTCATGATCTCTCGATTTGTGGGTTTGAGCCCTGTGTTGGTCCCTCGCTTGCACTCTGTCTCCTTAAAATAAATAAAACGTTATTTTTTAAAAATTTTTAATTAAAAGTAAAATAAAAAAAGAAAGTATCTCAACTGATACCCTGCAAAATAATTTTCTTCCAGTAAGCAGCAATATTAGATCCATATTTCCCTCTGGGAACAGCCTTAACTCTCAGGGAGGAAAATAACTCACCAAGAGGATTTTGTGAAGTAGTATTTCTACCAAAATGTTCTGATTTCCCCCTTCCCATAATGCATACTTCGTCTTGTCTTTCAAATCACAGAAGCTTCTAGACTACATTGTCTTTACTAAAGTGTATGATTTCCAGTTTACAGACGGTTTTTTAATGCATCTTTGGTTAATGTCACACCTCTAGGTTAATTGATAACATATCTTATTTAGATTTTAAAAATGTTAGAACTTTCTTCCACTCACTGTCCTAAGATCACAACCCATCAGAATAGCACCAATAGTTAGAGATGATTAAGAAAGATGTAGACAGAAAAGAGAAGTAAAATTAAAAAGAAACAGAGAAGGAAGTAATCAAACTCAATTTATGAGAATAAACGCCATAAAATTGAATCCAAGTCTTTATTCTGCCATGTGTTACATGAAGGGAAAGAAATATAGTCGGGAGAGTAAAAAAGAGAAAGACAGACAGACAGACAGGAGCCATTTACTGCCAGAAGGAAAAAGAAAAATGCAATCCATATAATATTTGTCTTTTGTAAAATTTGCTTTTATTAAATATAGACTAGGTACAAAAGCATATTTTATATACTTCAATCTATGACTGAATCCACATATTGGACCAGAGACCACAGGCAAATTGGTGAGCTTCTCAGGCCTCAGTTCCTTAGGGACAATGACACTTGTTTCCAGGAATCATTGTAAGGAAGAAGTACGACTATATATGGCATGTGCCTGATGTACAGGGGGCCACTTTATCCAAATTGCTCTTTATCCAAAAAATATGTATTAAGAACCTTCTGTAAGCCAAGTATCATACCAGCTGCCAGGAATATTATGGTAAGCAGAATCAGTCTAGAAAGGGAGACAGACATGAATTAATAACCATGAAAATAATTGTAAGTAACAGACAGTGAAAGGGCTATGAGGGCTGAGAAAGTGTATACTTGGGAAATTCTACCTCTCCAGAAAGATCAGGAAAAACTGTGGTCGACACTGCTTAAAGCCACCTTCTTGAAAAGCCTATCCTGCTCACTCCCAACTGGAAATGATTCTACTGGCCTGTGAATTCTCAGCAGGAAGCATGGAGCCCATGGATGACATTTATCTTACCCTATTGTGTCTAGCATCATAGCCAGCAGTAGCATGCCCTGTTTCCTCTGCTAGATTATAGACTCTTCACAGGCAGACACCAGGCCATCTACATGTTTGAATACTTCACAATATCTATTAAAATCTATTATTTCAATAAATAAGTGAAATTAGCTTTCAGGAAGCTGCCATAATTTCATGGAATTTGAAACTTAATTTATGCCTTTTGTAAGCCGAATTCTCATTGATTTCCAAGTCATTTGTCTGAACGTAATAGGCAATGTTCAAGGAAACAATATTATTTGGCCTCTTAGAAATTGTATAATATCTATCCCTCAAGGAGTGTGATACCCCTCAACTCCTGCTGAATAATCACAGACCTGAGCCTGACTCACCTATTAATCACATTTACAGGACAATAAAAGTGAGTCTAGTAGAATTCCATTTGCCAAATCTTCAATCCCTAAATTTTATGATTAGAATCTCAGTTTGTGATCTAGAAAAAGAAAGGAGAGGAGAGGAAGGGAGAGGAGAGGAGGGGAGGAGAGGGGATGGGGGAGGAGAGGGGATGGGGGATGGGGAGAAGATACCAAAAAACCCTCTGTGTGCTGAATCATTCATTCCTGTTAGGTTGCTTAATATTAAATCTGATCCTACCGTTAAAATCTAGAAATCTGCTTAGAAAAGCAATTTTAATCATATAATGATGTCAGGAGATTAAATTCTATCTTAACTCTGGAAAGGTATTTTTCTATTTTTCAATGTTAAGAGATTGTCTATATGTGCTCTTATTGTAATTAATAACTATAACTACTCTTGACATCAGTGGTGGCTATAAGTAATATGAAAGCTGAAATAATCAGAAGGAACATTTTGCTATTATCGTTAAATATTCAAGTTTCACTTAGGATTTCCCTTAAAGTCATTTGATTTTGGTATCTGTGAATTTTTTAAAGTATCCTCAGTGCCCAAAGGAGGCAAAGTTTATAAATCCCAACAAATACATAAACAAACAACCCAGGCCCTCTTATGTAATCTGCCAAACAGAAACAATCTCTCTGTATAGGAAAACCCATCAAATCAGATTCTGTAATGTGGGCTAATGAGAGAAAAGATTTTCATCCTTGACCTTGGTTTTTAGTTCCTTTAAAAATCAAAATCTTGAGGCCATTGTAAGTTGTGTAATGATGGATAAGTGAGGAGAGTAAGCATTCCATTGGTGTTTTTATGGGTTTCATCAGCTTGTTTTCCATGACTCGATGGCTTCATGAAAAAACTCTCATTTCTTTGACCTTGTGGGTCAAATGAATGCTCCTGAGCCAGTTTTCCTCAACCAGTTAGCATTCATACTGTTTCCCATTGTGCATTCTCAGCTGGACCCATATATTGGCTAGTTAATTCATTACTGAAATAAAATGATGAGTATTCTTCAAAAGGGTTTAGTCCAAATGGTCCAGAGGAATTCAGAGGGATATTCTGAAGATAATAGAAAAAAAAGACAAATATTATTCATGGAAAAATGTTAAGTATTACTTGAAAAGAATCAATGGAGAATGATTTTTAAACTGTTTATTTAAACTCTGTCTTATAAGAACATCAAAAATCTTCTCAATATCACTGATTAAGAGTTCTCTCTAACCCTGTGTTAGGCGATGGAGCCTCCATTATGAACCTAGGAAGACAGTGTGGCTAGTGGTAACAAACATCTCAGCCTAGGACCCAGGAAAGTAGGGTTTTCTCAAGCCTCTGCCACCACAGTATCTTTGGGTTATTGTCCTCTTCCATAAAAGTGTAAGTGTTCATACAGGTTTCTTTTCAAGAGACACAGAAGTTGGGACTTAATCATTCATTCAACAAATACTTATTGGACATCTATTATATGGCAGGCAACATTTCTGCTGAATGAGCCGTCTCTCCATTATGCTCCCTGAGTCCCCTGTGAATACCTGTATCATGTTATTGGCACTCTATTGGAATTAGGATTCCTCAATCTGATTTCTCCAATGACTGCAAGTTATTTTGCCAATGAGGAGCAGAATTCTTGGCATACGTTAGGTGCTCAAAAAGGATTTGGTGAATAAACAAAGGGGATCTCTTCATCTGCAAGGTTGAGCTTCCCAGAACGAGGACCAGAATGAGAGTTATCAAGCATAATGTTTCATTAAAACAATCACATGATTACATTAGAGTCGACCTAGCAATTTCTAAGCCAACAGCAGACTCTGATTCCACTAAGACCCAAACACTAAGACCTGCTTCTCTCTAGTCCTGAACACAAATCTATCCCTGGCACTCCACTTCCAGTTTGACATTATGAGCCATCTACACTCTGTCCCTTTGGTTGCCTCTCTAGATCTGCACTCCACTTTTTTTCCACTCTGCTCCGGTGTCTCTAGCTATGATTGGGTTTGACCAATGGGAAGTACCAGCACATTGGAGAAAGAGAGAACAGCCAAACTGAGATACTTATTCTCTCTCTTCAGGGCAATTGCAGGTTGCTGTGTCACTTGATCAAAAGTCACAGACCTTATCAGCAGCCCTCCCCACATATTGTGTGTGTGTGTGTGTGTGTGTGTGTGTGTGTGTGTGCACCTGCCCCTGTGTCTATCTCTCTGGGTTCCTTGCCCCTTAGTCTTAGGGACAGTAGCAGTGCCCCATTGTTAACTAGTTTTAGGGTGCTGCACTCTCTTTTTGGGTTTTCCCACATCCTAGCTTAATATTAAACTCACCTCAAATGATTCAGTTTGAGTATACTATTGGTTTCCTGCTAGAATCTTGACTGATAACTACCCAAGTATCATGAAGAATAAATGACCTAGTAATACACACACACACACACACACACACACACATACACACACACATTGGACTATTACTCAGCTATAAGAAGAATGAAATCTTGCCATTTGCAATGACATGGATAGACCTAGAGAGTATTATGCTAAGCAAAGTAAGTCAGTCAGAGAAAGACAAATACCCTATGATTTCACTCATATGTGAAATTTAAGGAACAAAGCAAACAAACATGGGGGAAAAGAAAAGAGAGGAAAACTGAGAAACAGACTCTTAACTATAGAGAACAAACATGGTTACCAGAGAGGAGGGGAAGGTGGTTTGGGGGTGAAGTAAGTGATGGGGATTAAAGAGTACACTGTTCTGATGAGCACTGGGTGTTGTATGGAGGTGTTGAATCACTAAATTCTACAACTAAAACAAAGGCTAGATCGTTTACTCTTATCACCACAGAGCACAATGAAAGAATACTAATAAATGCTAATGTCTCTCCTCTTCCCTGTTACAATTTTTATACCCCACCACAGCTATCAATAGTACCTTAACATAACAGCTACTTAATAAGTATTTGTTGAATGAATGATGAAAGATATGAAATGAAGATGAAAAATATTTCTAAGAGGAGTGCCTGGATGGCTCAGTTGGTTTAGCATCAGACTCTTGATCTCAGCTCAGGTCTTGATCTCAGGGTCATGAGTTCAAGTGTCACATTGAGTTCCATGCTGGGTCTGGAGCCTACTTAAAAAATACAGTGAAACTTTGATTTGCAAGTATAATTCATTCCAGAAACATGCTTATAATCCAAATCATTCATATATCAAAGCAAATTTCAAGAACCATTGGCTCAGTTGTAATCATGTGATGTTCAGTATCATGTACTACTTGTATTGCAGACATTGTTCATTTATCAAGTTAGAATTTATTAGAAATGTTTCCTCATCATGAGGAACACTCACAGACAAGTTATTCACAATCCATATATACATTTTGAAAGCGCTTCTGACCATAGTTTGGGATTCAATCACATGAAAATCAGTGTACATGAAATTTATTATCAGATGTTATATTTAGGGAAGTTTTTAATTTCAGTAATTGAGGGTCATTAGGTATTCTGGCTTTATAAATTTACATTCTCTCTTTTCTCATGTTTTGACTGAAAGAATGATTGGCCTCCTGGAATTATATATGATCCAGCCCTAGGAAGAAACAGCCAAAGGATGAGCTAACGTCTCAGGGGCCCATGTTGTTTAATAGGCTAAGAGATTAGTTTATTGGTCCTTCCTAGACCTCAGAGAAAATAGTGATTTTATTTCATGCCATCTAATTCATATGAACTGCTTTTGCAAGTTCATCACTTTCTGTCTCCTACACCAAGACAGAAATGAAGTTTGAGGTAAACTGTATCTCCTTGGATCTTTCATGTTCATAATGAATAAAGGCAAATCATCAGTAAAGCCCAGTCTTCACTCACCGTGTATACTGATCTTGCAGATGCATCGTGGAAGTAACTTCTAGTTCTGGTATTGGAGGAAGCACTTTCTTGACCTGAGTCAAGGGCAGTCTCTGCTTGGTCCCTATTTTTTAAGAAGGAAAGCTGTTCTAGTCTGTACGCAGTCAATAGCAGTGCAAAAACAGATACAACACTTTCCCGTATACTAAGAGAACCATGCCCTCCATCTAGCAAGGATATTGGCAGTTTCCATCACTGGCTAGATTTCCTGTCTACAACTGTGACAACTTTAACCCATTTCTCTCAACTCTGTTTCTCTCATGTCTCTTCCTCCACCCAACTTCCTGAGCACAAGACCTGCAGCATAGTTAAAGGGGGAGCAAAGTAGAGAAAAACATTCTTTGTGTTCAATGCCAAGTAGAAAGAGAAGAACTTCAGTATGGAAACTGACTACAAACATTTCCTTTCTGCATTTGTTAAAGTAGTTCCCTAAGGAGAATATCAAGGACATCTCTGATTTCAGGGACAATTTTAACAAGAAGCCAAATTACAAATCAGATGAATTCGAATCTGGCCTCCTTTTCTAGGACTATGTGACATCAAGTCCTTCTAATATTATCTTCAGCTGACATCAAGGTAGGAGATGAAATTTCAGATCCATGGCATATGGAATTTCTTTCATTCCACTGAGATCTGGGGTCTTGCTTTTCTAGTTTTTATACTGAAACTTGAGTTTTACATAATACATGTAGTTTTTGCTTCACAGATGTCTCTTCTTTTTATACAAAGCCCTGGACACGAATGGAAATGAGGTGACCTATAATTTAAAGAGAAGTTTGAGTAGCTGCTTCTTAAGAAGACAAATCAAAAAGGAAGATTTAAGTGTAATCAAGAATATGATGCTTAGCAAAGGAAATTAAAAAAATTTTTTTAATTTCCATATGCATCAAAAAAAAAAAGAATATGATGCATCTTATCCATGAAGATGATTAAACACTGGTATAGGTTACCAAAATGGAAATGCTGTCAAACCATCCATCAGAATTATATTCTTTTAATCAGGAAAAAATTTAATTAGAAAGACTTACATTGGATTCAATTTTATGAATGAGGAATACAGTCACATGACTAAAATTTTATAAACTGGGGGGGATATCAAGCAAAACATCTCCCTCTTTACCCCATTTCCCACAGACAGGCACTTTCTACCACATCTCATAATTCTTTCCCTTCTCTCCTTCCTCTGCCACAGGAAATCAAGGTTTTTAGTTTTTTGTTGATATATAGATGATAGATGATGATTGATAGATAGATAGATAGATAGATAGATAGATAGATAGATAGATAGATGATAGATAGATATAGATGATAGATTTATATGTTTATATGTACATATACGTTATTTTTGTCTTTACACAATGATAACATACCTTACACAGGTATGTATATTTAATGATCTATCTCAGAGATCTTTCCCCATAAAATCTACCTCATTCTTTTTTACAGCTTCCTGGTATTCCATAGTATGAATATATCATCATGTCTTAAAGCACTTTCCTATTAGATTGTGTCTATTCTGGTATTGTAAACATACTAGCAATAAGCATTGTATACATGTTATTTCTCTCCTAAATTAGTAATCCATAGGAGAAATCCCTAGAAATAGAATTGCTGGCTCAAAGGGCTTGTACATTTGTAACTTTGATAGTTATTGCCAAATAACATATCACAGAAGTTGTAGCACATTAGCCTCTTGGTTTACCTTAGTAAAGTATGACAGGGCGAGTGCCTACTGCCCCTGGCCGCACTGTGTGATGTCAAACTTCCAGGTTTTTACCAATTTGGTAGATGAAAATGGCATTTCAGTAGAGCTTTATTTTGCATTTCCACCTGAATGTAAGCTCAACAGAGATCTTTGTTTGGTTCACTGCTGTGTCTCCTATCCCCAGAAGGGCAACATTATTGACATATAGTAGACATCAAAAAAAAAAAAAAAAAAAGTCTCTTGAAAGAATTTATTCTGAATGAGATTGAACAACTTTTCATATATTTAAGAGCCATTTGTAGTTCCTTTCCTATAAACAGTCCATTTTTATCCTTTACCCATTTGCCTACTGGGTTATAGTCTTTTTTCCATCAATTATTAGGAATTCCTTATTTACCAGGAAAAATTGCTTATCATATGTGATGGACTGCAAGTAACTTTTCCCTAATGGTTTTTACTGTGTTCATTCTTTTTCATACAGTCAAATTTATCAGTCTTTTAACTGAATTTTGTGCTATGGATTGAAAGCACTACTTTGTGGTTATAAATGGATTCTACTGTTGTTTCTCCTATTACTCTTATGGTTTCATGTTTACATTAACATTATTGATACATTTGAAATTTACCCTAGTAGTAGTGTGAACTCTGGACTAAGCACATTTTTCCTCTAGATGGTTATTCAGTTGTCACATCAGCATTCCTTCAATAGTCCTTCTCTTTCCTTGATTAGATATACCCCTTTTATCATTTACTCAAGTCCTAAACTTTCTAATTTTTCATTAAATATTTTTGTCTACTTACGTATCAGTACCATGGTGGAACAGATACTTCTCTTCTATATGTTTCTATGTCAATTTTTTTCCTGGCTGTTACTGACATTTCATCAGGATATTAAAATGACCTTGTTTATGATTTAGGAAGAACTGGTATCTTTATATATTCATCTTCCAGTTCAAGAACATGATATACCATTTGTTGTTGTTCAAGTCGTTTTTATGTCTCTCAGGAGCATTTTTCTGAAGTTTACTTCAGAAAGGTCTTATATGTTTCTTAATACTAATTTTATTCCTAGTTATTTTATCTTTTTATGGTTGTTTTAAATGCAGTACATCTTCTAATTGGTTGTAGTAAATATGTGAATGCTATTGATTTTTTTGTATTATTTTTGCACCCTGCCCCCATTGAATTTTAATTTTAAAGAATGTTTTTAGAGAAATTTGTTAAATTTTCCAGGTATACAAAGTGATCCTTTTACCTTTCCAATTTTTTAACCAGTATTTCTCTCTCTTACTTAATTGTGTTGGCCAGTACTTCGAAGACGGTGGTAGGTAAAGTGGAAATACTGGACATTCTAGAAAATTTCTGACTTTAGCTAGGCATGCTTTTAGTGTTCCCCTAGTAAGTGTGATTCTGGGTTTTTGTTTGAGACAGATATGTTTTATCATGTTAAGGAAGTACTTGTTTATGTTATTTTTAGGAGACTTAGGAACTTTATCTTTTTTTAAACTGAGCTGCTACTGGATTATTCTGCTAATATTTGTTTAGGATTTTTGCACATAAGTATATAAGTAAGATTGCTCACTGATTTCATTTTAGACACAATCGTTCTTAGTTTTAAATATTACTAATGTTGGTATGCCTTAATGGCTCAGTTGATTAAGCATCCCACTTTTGATTTCTCATGATCTCATGGTTCATGAGTTCAAGACCCATGTCAAACTCTGCATCAGGCTCTGTGCTGACAGTGTAGAACCTGATTGGGATTCTCTCTCCTCTCTGCCCCTCCCCTGCTCACTCACACATGTGCTCTTTCTCAAAATAAATAAATACACATTTTAAAATATTTTCAAAAAATGAAATTCAGTTTCTAGAACTCTGTCCCAAATCTACTGAATTACAACCTCCTTTAGAAATGGTCCAAGAGCCTGACATTGTACAGACATCAAAGTAATTCTGATGCACATTTGGCTTCAGATTGAACTTACCATGCAGATAATTGCTTAGACAATCTCTGACAAAGCATCTTATAATATTCAGAAGTTGAGATTTAAAGATAGTTCTTCTTAAAATTAAAATATCAAAAAAACTATTCATGAAATTAATTAATTGCCAAAGAAAATTAACAGAGCTCTTTTGGTTAGAAAGCCAACTACTCATAATTTGCTGATTCATTTGGTTTGCTGATGTTGTATAATATGATATACATAATTTACTACAGAATGCTATTATCTGTCAAAATGATTGCTAGTTACAAGTAACTCTCTAATGGTACATTATATTCTGTTTCTCCTAGTACCCAAGGACATGTAACTCATATGCTAATAGAAAAACTTCTGAAAAATTGATAAAAAGGCCAAAAGGTAGAATATATGTCATTTTAATGCCTTCTTCAGAATAGCTAAGATGGGTGGGATATTTTTCTAGTTCTACACCAGGAAATAGAGTTTCTTTCAAACAATATTAATTCACCAACACTAGTTAAGGCAGCAGAAGGAGTCAAGAATATCTTAAAACTTCACAGAAGTCTATTCATGAATTTGTCAAAGGTCTGAACCAAACATTTCTTTGACTTTTTTCAGGAACCTCAGAAGAGCCTAAAAAATTAAAAAGAACCTCAATATGAGTTTTGGCCTGCCTGAATCTAGTGAACAAAATGGATTTCCAGTGGTAGAAACTTTGATTAAAAATAAAACTCCATGCTTTATGTTCTTGAATAAACCCCTGTCACACTGGCTATGACAGTGTCCACATTGTCTCTGATATTTCTTTTTCTTTTATTTCTCTTTTTTAAATTTCTATCACTTTTCAAAAGTGCTTTATATCTATGACATCTGGTGTATAACCTCAATTCATCCTTCCAAAGTAATTTTTGATTCCCACTGAGTAACAGAAACTTGCAAGGTGTTTTCTTCTCTTTGTTCCTGATGATTTTCATGTCAAAGACAAGGTACTTCTCCCACAGTGAAGGTACATCTAAAACTTCCTGATCCTAGCCAGGATCTCTTGACTGCTTAGAGAATTTGTCCCATCAATATTTTATATTCATATTTCCAAAACTTTTTCAGCTATCCTTGGTTATGAAATTGGAAAACCAAAATAGCTAAAAACAAAACAAAACAAGGAATAGTAAACAGGACTAGGTATCCATACCATATATGATTCTGTGACCTCTATTTCCCCGATAGTGAGTTTATTCAATTTTGTTGTAATTGCTTATTTGTCTGTCTCCTTGTGTGCAAAGGCTGTATTTTATGCACAGTTATATACCCCAGAACCAACCTTGCGGTAAGACACATAATAGGTAAAAATACATGTTGAATGACTGAAAGAATATCATCTAACTTCTTTGTGCCTCATTTTTCTTAATAAAAGTGTATGAGTACAAGCTGTACAGGCAGTCAACTCTGGGGTGCCTCCGAGGAACTTGGAGATAAGGAAAATAAGATTGTCCTCTGAGAGTTAGTCTATAAAATCAACTCATAATCACAACAGAAGCATCATCTTCAGAAATCATTCCCAGGCCAAAGGCAATTAAATTAAATTAAAAGTGCTGTGTTAAACGAGCCATGAGGCTATCCCTAAAATGGGGAAGAAAGCCTTTCAAGCTGTGTTGGCAAAGGAATCTGCTTTAAGGCCTACCAAACAAGCCTTGGCTGTGATTTGACTCCCCACATGGTTTTGTCCGAGGAGAGAGGGCACATGTGTTAGCTGTCAGAAGTGTTTTGGTCCATATTTTCTATCAATTGTAATACTTGTTATGAATTAATAACTGGCCTTCTTATAAATCGCTGTTGTGAGCTGGATTACATCATGGATCTTTTTTGGTGAGGCGCCATTGCAGGAGGCTGTGCTTCCAGGCCTGGAGAAAGCTTCCAGGCCTGGAGAAAGGTGCCGGAGCAGGTGACTTCCCCTATGTGAGGCACCTGGATTGCCATGTGGGTGGAGCTGCTAGGTGGCCTCACTCTCAGGGGGTACTCACACCTGAACTTCCTCATGACCATGACCTCGGCAAAGCTAGTATGTGCCTTGAAGCTCAAAGGAAGAAACTAAAGGTAAGGGTAAATGAGGTAATAAAGGTATGTTTTGATGTCGTTTGAAAAATAGAAAGCACTACTAAGTGCAAAACAGGATATTTTTACAAGCATCTTTTTAAGCCCACTTGACAGGTCTGCTTGGAATTTAATAGGACTACATTTTGCTCAGCAGGGGTGGGCTGTGGATGGCTAACCTTGGAAACGGTGACCTCAGTGCTTCCTTCCTCTCCTTGTACTTTGGGAGATTCAGCCATGACTTAGTGGAGACAATGGTAATAATGTCTAAACTTATCCACAAAGTACTTGCTTTCTTTATAAGAGCTTCTCCAGAAATGAAGGAATTCAAGTTAACCTTCACAGATCACTGTAGTCAAGATGGATGCAGAAGTTCTCAGATGGTTTGGTGATTATTACTCAGTTCTCTAATCTGGCTCCAAGAAAACCTTTCAGTCTTATTTCTTCTTATTGCCCTAGGAACACAGAACTTCAACACTGCGATGCACCCTTCTGACCTTTTCATCACATAAAAACATTGGCACTTTTGTGCAAGCCCAAGATAGCTCGTTGCTTTGTAGGGCTAATAGAACCAATTATGGTAGCTTAAAATAGATTTCCATTATTCAAGGAGCCAACTCTCTACTATGTTCAAAGCTCCATCTGTTATTGTTAACAGTGATCCTAAAACCACTCAGCTGTTCCAAATCTGGCCAGTGTGAAAATCAAATGAGGACGGAGAAAATACATGACTGCAAAATTACCTAGAATTAACAACTAAAGAGAACAGACAGCTGCCAATATTCTGAGCCATTGTCTCACTTGCCAGTTTGTTCACACTCCAAGGGAATGAAACTGATCAAGTGTTTAAAAGTTATAATTTAGAGGAGGAAAGTTTTTGAAAGGTCTTTGTAAGACAGCAGCAGCCATTCTTTCAATATAGTCAATGTAGAGTTGTATTTATTTAACAAATATGTATTGGGTACCTGCTATGTCCCCTCATATGCATGATGCTGTGAGCTGGGGATGCCGTGATGAATATATCAGGTGGAGTCCCTGATCTCAAGGAGCTAACTGGCTCATGGAAGCCACATCAATCAAATAATAACACAATAAATATATAAAATAACAATAGTGATAATGGCCACAAAGTGAGATTTGTGGCATTATGAGGCTGTGTGATATAGGGAATTGCCCCAGTTAAGGGGGTCCAATATGACTTCCCTGAAGAAGTGTTAGCTGAGCTAAGATTGGAAGGCTCAGTGGGAGGAGAGGAGGTCTGCAGGGAGTGGCTACTCCCTTTAGGCAGGGAAATTCTGTACAAAGATGGAGATATTTATCTGCACGTGTTTTATCTTCAGCTCTTCTGGACCTAGCATAAAAGGCTATCACATAAAGGCAATGAACAGATGAATCATGTTCATCAATGAATGAACAGATAAGTCATCCTATTCTGCCTACAGATTCTTCACGCTTAAGAAATTCTTCCTGCGTGGAAACTCACCCTCTGCATTCTGATCTATTCTGTAACCCACCAGATGGCTGCAACCTTTACTGTTTTATGAACCCAAATCCATAGTTTAGGAGTCATAAATGCTACCGCTAAGCAAGTAAAAATTAAATTTCCATGTTACTTTGCTTGGTTGTTGGACATCTGGCACAAGTAATTTATCTTCTGCTGGAAATCGAAATCTGCTTAGTCTTTATTATGCTGGCCATAAACATGTTGCAAATTGTAATTTTACATTGCCATTCATTTTATTTGAGGGTAATACAAATGACTGGGTCATCCACTTACTTTGGGCATTTAGTAATTCTCTTTCGCAATAAAATTCCGTTTTCTTCACTTCGTGGTCCCCGAGAACCCACTCACGTTAACTGCAAAAAACATTTCACTAATGCTGAAATGTTACCTTGCGGGTGACTCACACCATCACACACAAGCTCCTACAACCCTATACAGTGTAGAGAAAATGTTTCATCTCAGTTTTTTTTGTGTTAATGTAAAAGAGCAAAGAGAGTTGTGATCCATGGCTTGACCCAGCAGGAGTAAACTCCCCTGGTCACCATAGTCAGTAAGGGGTGTGCCGGAAAGCCTGCTAGACATAACTGAGTTTGAACCCTCACTCTGCTAGGAACTGCTTATAGGTTACCGAAACTCTCTTAATTTCAGTTTTTCTCATCAGGAAAAAAGCAAGATTCTTGTGAAATGAAATAATATGATGTCTATGAAAGTTGCCTGACAGGTGTTTATAGCTGAATCAGGTGTCCCTTCTCCTAAGGCAACGAGGGGTAGAATTCCTCTAACTGTGTTGTCAGCTCTGTGAAAGCAGAGACTGTGCTGGTTTGCGCCCCTGCCCATCAGTGCTTAGCATGATGCGTGGCCTTTCGTCAGTGTTGCATAGATTTGGGTTGAATATTTGAAGGTGAAGAATTTCAAGATTTAAAGATTTCACCATTTTCTTTTCTTTTTTTTCTTCTTCTTTTTTTTTTTTTTTTTTTTTTGGTAATGTTTATTTATTTATTTAGGCTTGGGAGGGGGAGAGAATCCCAAGCAGGCTCTGCGCCATCAGCGCAGAGTCAGACTCAGGGCTCAATCCCACGAACCAGGAGACCATGACCTGAACCCAAGTTGGATACTCAACTGACTGAGGTGCCCAGGTGCCCCAAGATTTCACCATTTTCGATGGGCACAGAGTGGGAGGTGACACGAGCCCCTCACTGGCCCATGCAGCGGGAGTAAGTAGAAGCTCTAGTCCTAGAAACCTGGTGTCATAGATATTTAGTTACTGGCTATCCAACACGTGGACATCTCAGGGTGCTCTCAAGGATGCAGGAGGCCAGAGGGCAGATATTCCTGCTTCCTGGCATCAGGGTACCAATCTGTGACCTGTACTCAGTCAACCAGGTAGGTCTCCTTGGGGCTTGGCATCCTGGACAGTGATACAAAGCTGAAATGGTCAAAGAGCAGCTCTGGAAGCTCGGAGGGAGTGTTCAGTGGTGGTGACCTGAACAGAGACATGCTCACCAGGTCATTCTCATTGTGACCTTGGCTGTATTTTTGGCTGCCTGGCCTCCCTTAACTCCTGTTTACTTTTCAACCTCTGAATGCCAAACACTCCTGTTGTTTCTATGGGTTACTTATCGGTTTTCCAATATGTCTCCTTTCTTCCAACCCAGCCACGTTGATTGTTACTGTTTGCCTCTGATGATTCGGGTCCTAGTCCACTGCTCCAGCCCCTTTGGTCAGCTGACAGTGATCAACCCTTTAAACACTGTTTCTAGGGATACATTTCAAAGTTACTTTTGCATAGTTCTCAAAACCTCTTCTTCAAGAAGGTCAATGTATTTCATTATTCTTTGATAGCCTTACCAATTCTGCAGAATGAGTTATATGTTCTTTAATGAAGCAGGATTATGTGCCCTCTGATCACTTTCCCTTTGTTTCGCCTTTCCCAAACCCCAAGATTAGTTCCTTGCTCATCTGCTCTTTTTACTTCATACTCATTTCCCCTCAGGGTTTATTTGATTTAGTAAGGCTTTATTGTGCACAAATTACGTGCTAGATATTATGCTAGGGACAAGGATCCAAAGATGAATAAGACAGTCATCACCTGTGTGAAGGTGACAATCCACTGAATAAAATGGAAAGTAGATCGATGTCAAGAGAGGCAACTTAAGCCATCTCGTGTCTCAAAGCCAGGAAGAAGATATTAGAGACACATAAATCTTGGGATTTGATTCTGTGTGCCATCGCTTTCGACAGCAATGAGACACACATACTCTCCCAGTGTTTGCTCTGCTCTGGAGCATGCTGGGCACTGTGCAATGCCAAGGGCTGGGTAATCTGTCTCTATTTCTCTCTCATCCTTTTGAGGGTGTGAGCCTATCTATCTCTGTGTGTACATGTGTAACAACACTTACTTCATAATACTTGAACAATACATATACACTCTCTCCAGAGAGACCTCTGGAAGGTACAGTTTGAAGCGACAGCAAGGTGCTCTGCTGAATGTGACTGCAGTCACTGCTCCCTTTGAACAATTTTTTTTTTTTTTACTAGTGTTACTGCTTCTCCAGAGAACCATGCTGGCACATTTTTTCCTTACATTCTCACTGCTGCCTATAATCCATCATTACAAAGAGAGGCCTTAAAAACGGCACTCAAGGGAGACATTATTTCCTTTCCATTTCTCTCTCAGAAAGAGCAACTTATAATAGGAGGGGAAAAATTGCATTTAGGTTAAAGGATTATAAATAACAAGAAAGAAACTGCTTCTCCCCTCCAACCTCCCTTAAGATGCTAAGCCTCAAAAGGACTCTTGATTTTTTTTTAAAAGGCCATCACCCCTTGGCTTGCTCTAAACATTAATATTATATACCTGGTCATAAAGCTAGAGGATTTTTAATGAGAGCTATTAAAGGCAACGGATGGCTGAGACAGTTTCCTCTGGTGAATGAAAATCAAAGGCTCGTAAATACAACTTGTGAGGTTAGTCTTGTGGTTAGCTAGTACTTTAAATTTGCAATTCCCCTGATTATATGAGTTGGCAGGGGGACTATTGACTTTTCCTCAGACAAAACTGCAGGGCTCAAAATTATGACTTGAAAAGAGAGAGGATCAGGATTCCTAAGGCCCCTGGAAAGCTCCGCAGAACTAGGTTAAAACATTCCTGTTGCAGGAATGTACTGCCTAAGAGGCAAAACAGAGGAAATACCATTTTCTCCCTATAAAAAATGAATTTGGACATCTGAAACAACCTTGTGATTTTAATTTCATCAATCCAACAAAACTGTCACTGACCTCACAAACCACACTCACCCACACTGAGTTAGTTTCAAATGATCACTGAGCTAACTGCTTAATATTAGCCATAGGTTGGGGCGCCTGCGTCTGGGTGGCTTAGTCGGTTAAGCAACCAACTTCGGCTCAGGTCACAATCTTATAGTGTGTGGGTGCGAGACCCACATCGGATTCTGTGCTGACAGCTCAGAACCTGGAGCCTGCTTCTGATTCTGTGTCTCCCTCTCTCTGCCCCTCTGCTGCTCATGCTCTGTCTCTCTCAAAAATAAATAAACATTAAAGAAAATATTAGCCATAGGTTAGTATTTAACTGCTAACACTGAGAAGAGAAAGTCTGCATTTCTTTTTAATTGAGTTCTTTAGGGGCACCTGGATGACTCAGTCGGTTAAGCCTCCGACTACGGCTCAGGTCATGATCTCACAGTTCGTAGGTTTGAGCCCCGCATCGGTCTCTGTGCTGACAGCCAGCTCAGAGCCTGGAGCCTGTTTCGGATTCTGTGTCTCCCTCTCTCTCTGACCCTCCCCTGCTCACGCTATTTCTCTCTCTCTGTCTCTCTCTCTCTCTCTCAGAAATAAATAAAACATGTTTTTAAAAATTTAAATTGAGTTCTTTAGGTGCATTCCATCCAATTTTCCCTCAAGCTAGGGGTCCAAGTACCTGCTAATCTAAATAGGTAAGAAAAGCCTTGGGAGCACAGTCCCCAGGAAATGCTGTGCACGGATCTGCATGTGGCTGCGATGTGGTTACCACAGGGGCCCGAAGCTTTGTTCAGTTTCCTTTCATTTTTGAAAACCGTTTATACACCAGACTTGAAGCTTCCTCTTACCTGACTTCTCACAAAGTATGAAGGAGCCGTAGAAAATATCACTCATAATTCTGTGATTTTCCAAGAGTAGAGGATAGGATGCCTCCCTGATGAAGGAGAGGACTTTGCCCATGTCACATTCTCCCTCTCTTTCTTTTTAATATGATTTGACAGTTTGAATTCAGAAGGAGGCTTCGCAATTAGGAGATGGAACCACAGTGTCTGTGCTAACAGCTCCCTTAGCTGCTCTAATTAGGGTTCCCTTATTCCACTTCTGTTTGCTGGAGAGGACAGGGGACTTTTTAATTGGGGCTATTAGAAGTTCTCTTTACACAATGACACCCTTTGCTAAGTGAAAGCTCCAGCGAAAGCCATGCCCACTCTGCAATTACTCCTTGCGATTCTGAGGAATAATGGTATCTTGTCTCATTTAAAAATAAATCTGAAGCTGATTCCTTATTGCTTTCTCTCCTCTGCCTACTCACATGCATTTCTTCTTGCCAATTAGACAAACTTTCCATTATTTAAGGAGCTAGTTTTGATCATGACTGTCCCCTGATAGTAAGACATATTAAACTGGATTTCATTTGCCCACAGCTCCTTTTTTTTCCAGATACAAGGCTAATTTAAATGAGCTCAGATCATTCGATCTTGGGTCTACAGTGAAATGGTGAAGCGCTGGGATTTTCAAAGCCGTGCTCTGTGTGCACATTATAGAACTCACCTGAAATAACCCGCACGTCCAATGTTCGTGGTTTCTCAGAACCCTTTCCTCTTAAGAGAACAGATGTACATTTGTATTTATGACCTATTCCAAGAAAAGAAATTAAATACTTAAGTGATAAACAAGCACATTCTTAATATATATCCCCCATGTTGACTCAAAGATTACCAAGGAAAGTGGGCCTTTCACAACAGGGTCAGGAGTAACAAGACATTAAGAGCTTTCCTTATTAAGTTCTTTTCCATGAGCAAATACAGGCTCTTTCTAAAACAAGCGATTTCTCCACTACCATAAATGTGATCATGCCATCTCCTCTAAAGAAAAGCACCAGCTCTTATGTATAGGATATTATATTATTTACATTATTATGTATACATAGATACGTATGAATATTTAATGCATATTTATTTTTTTTATGTCTATTTATTTTGAGAGAGAGAGAGAGTACAGAGAGAGAATCCCAAGCAGGCTCTGCATCATCAGTGCAGAGCCCAATGTGGGGCTCAAACTCAGGAACTGTGAGATTATGACCTGAGCCGAAATCAAGAGTCAGACACTTGACTGAGCCACCCAGGCACCCCTTTAATACATAATTAATATTTAATGTCCTAAATGATGTGATGTTTTTCATTACTTTACATGTTTGTATTTGTAAGGCAAGCCTTCAAAAGCCACTGCTCTGGCATTTGCGTAGATGTTTATAAGATATTTACTCCCCACTATTGGTTTCTTTCTAGACATTTTCTCCATCTGACTCCTATCTCTCTTTCCTGATATCCAGTTAAATGGAAAAATGGATCAAGAAACTCAAAGCCACGTGCTATTTGCAAATAACATATTTATTTAAAATGATATAATTTTTAAAACTAGAAAGACCCCTTGGGGCACCTGGTTGGCTCAGTTGGCTTAGCTTCTGATTCTTGATTTTACCTCAGGTCATGATCTCACAATCGTGAGTTCAAGCCCCACATCAGGCTCCACGCTGGGCATGGAGCCTGCTCCAGATTCCCTTTCTCCTTTTCCCTCTGCCCCCCTCCCACATCCATGTGTGCACTCTCTCTCTCGAAAAAGAAAAAAAACAACAAATAGAAAAACCCTACATCTTAATTCTGATATTTTATTAACTGTATAACTTTGGAAAAAACATTTAATCTCTCTAAGGCTCAGAGTTTTTTTTTTCATCTATAAATGAAAATAATAGTACATACCTGTTTAGTTTCTTTGAGAATCTAGTAAAATACTTGTGAAAATGCTCTGAAAATAGTTATTCTACAAATATACAAGGTTGATGATATTATTATATATTAGCCTTATATACAATGATAAGACTTGATATGAAACTGCTTTCAGAAATACTTGCAACAAATACATAACCTAAAAAGTTAATGGTACCTTCATTCCAACCCAAGGACAACCATTTGTCTGCCTACTGAGATGACCAACACAGCCTTGCCTGGTAAAGAATGTAAGTCTTGGGTGTCTGGGTGGCTCAGTTAGTTAAGCATCTGACTGTTGGTTTCGGCTCAGGTCATGATCTCACAGTTTGTGAGTTTGAGCCCTGTGTCGGCTCTGCACTGACAACATGGAGCCTGCCTGGGATTCTCTCTCTCTCTCTCTCTCTCTCTCTCTCTCTCTCTCTCTCATTCTCTCTCTGCTCCCTCCACCCCGCTCATTCTCCTCATTCTCTCTCTCTCCCTCAAAATAAATAAAGACTTTAAAATAATTTTTTTTAAAAGAGTCTTAGGAAATACTCCAGCCATCCCAATACTACTCTCCCTTTTTGAGAACTACTAGACACTGTGATAAACTTCTTCTAGAACCTCTTTAACTCAATCCTTGCCTGTGTGGTAATGGTGATTATTCTTGTTTTACAGAGGGGGAAAATGGGATATTTAGATCCAGTAAATAACTTGCTCAAAGTCATATAACTGATAAGTGATAGCACTAAAATTCTATCCTATCCACCTATCTCCATAGCCTCTTCTCACAATGATACATTTTAGACTGTCTTTAAGAGACCATATACTCATAAACTATTGCTCAGGCCTAATATTCAGCCAGTAAATGTATGGACATACCCCAGAAGTGTCAGTATGTGCATGGGTACACAGCAGAAGAGTCAGTATATGCATGGGTACACACCAGAAGGGTTGATATATGTGTGGATACACACCACTAGGGCCAGCTGAGTAGTTTACAGTCAATGTCCATCCTGATAGATGGATGCCTGTGTCATACAAAATTTTTTTTGAGAGAGAGAGGGTATGTGTGTGTGTGTGTGTGTGTGTGCACACGCGCGCACAAGCAAGTGGGGGAAGGGCCCTGGTTGAGGCAACTTTGGCTCAGGTCATGATGAGTTTGAGCCCCACATCGGGCTCTGTGCTGACAGCTCAGAGAGAATCTCAAGCAGGTTCCACACCCAGCACAGAGCCTGATGCGGGACTTGAACTCAGAACCATGAGATCATGACCTGAGCCAAAACCAAGATCAGATGCTTAACTGAATGAGCCACCCAGACACCCTAAATTAAATATTTTTAATATCATCCCTAATGCCTGATTTCCAATTTAGTTTTGCCTAAAATCTACTGACACCCTTCCACTTATTAAAGATTGACTCCTACTCACACTCATCACCTAGAGCCACTCTGCTCAAGATCTCCAATTCTGAAATTCTTTATCCTACTCCCTATTCTTCTACGTCTTTTCTGCCTTCACTGCCACTGAGCCTCTGCCCCATCTCCAGCCCTTTCGAGCTCCTGCCTAGCTTGTCCTCCCCTCTATTCTCTTGTCTGAGCAGAGAAAGACACATGAAGCTTCTTGAATGCTGACACTGTGTGCTACTTATGCTTATATTCCTTGGGTAACCTAGAACTGCCACTTACACACAGTAGGCACTCAATAAATGACACATTGAACTTCAAACAAAATGTAAATCTAGGGGCGCCTGGGTGGCTCAGTCAGTTAAGCATCCAACTTTGGCTCAGGTCATGACGAGTTTGAGCCCCACATCCGGCTCTGTGCTGACAGCTCAGAGCCTGGAGCCTGCTTCAGAGTCTGTGTCTCCCTCTCCCTCTGCCCCTCCCCCACCAGCACTCTGTCTCTCTCTCAAAAATAAATAAACCTTAAAACTTTTTTTTAAAGAACATAAATCTATAGATGAGACCCTAAATGGATTGTCCCAGACAATGGATTTATTCCTCAATACTTACTTTGCCACTTCCACACTCTTCTGTAGCTTTCAAGTATTTTATGGATAGTGAGGATGAGCAAAAATATAAAAACGACAAGAACTAAAACATACCAAGTGATCTTCATGGAACAAGTAAAATCTGCAAAAAAAGAAAAACAAACCCAAATATAAAACTACAATAAAATGATACAACAGAGAGAGAGAGGTGTGGGTGTATTCTAGTGCATATTCCCGCCTTAACTGAAAAAGAGAAATATCTAATGATCACTGTTATAGGGTCATTTGCTCTCCTGATTTCTTCCCTGATTTGTTAAATGAGTGGATTAAATGAAGAAATTCGACCGAGGAGCTTCCAAGGATTCATTTAGCTCCAAAATTCTAGGTTTAATTTCACTCACAGGTTATGCTGGTGGTAGTTTCCATGTAGTTGCTATCACTAGGGCTAGAACCACAAAAAGCAGAGTCCCAGTATCAGGGCCATTTGTAAATAACAACTGTGACCCTAGGCCAACCAGCCAAAAATTATGTCCTCAAATCGACCAAGACGTAGTGAGTGTAAGCAAGATAGAGAAGAAAGCAAAAGACAAAGAGAAAGGGCTGGACTGAGGCATAGAAGAGGCCAAAACAGATAAATAATCAGACTCCCCTTTCTGCACAGACTTTCACTGCAATGATTGGATCAAGTGCACATATTAATTAGACACACAATTACCCTAGCTTACATGTAATAAGCATACAGATAAAAGCTTGTTCAATCAAATGACAATAAGACATATGGGAAGGATAGCCCCCAGCCAGCAATTGTTTAGCACCGTCTCCTTTGGTGCCATAAAGAGAGACTGGCCAGCAGACCTAGGAATCAGTGACATAACAGATGGTGACCTCATCATGTCCAAGACATAGCTATGTACTGACTTCCCAAGCCACCCTGTGTACCCTCTTCCTTGCACACAAAACATAGTACTTACTCAAGTTAGCAGGAGATACAACTTGTTTATACCCTTGGATGTTTGTCCTTGTGAGGTTCATGATATGGGTACTCCTTTCACAGGGCCCACCCCCATGGGCAGATGTACACTGTATAGTCATCCAGCATTTATTTAGAGAAGAGACTGAATGGAGAAAAGGTAAAAGTTGACAGGAAAGGCAACCCGCAGCCACCCTCAAATCATCCCATGCCATCCGGCTGTCAACTTGCAGTCCTTGCTCAGTAAAAGTATGCAGGTACCCGGAATAGAAGACTTACAGTGCCAGCAAAAGCCACATTGGGCCCAATGGCCAAGGTGTCACTGGGCACCGATCAAGCTATGAAAAGAGAACCAAGCATTCACCAACTTTATGTAACAATAGCAGAATGGGCACAGGCCTGGCCCACCCACCCCAACCCTGCAGTCATCTTGAAGAGAAGCAAGGGGGAACAGATAGGAATCCGAAAAAAGACTGAATAGACCATTTAAATTATTGTTTCAGAGCAAATTTATCAGATTTGACTAAATTTAGTTTCACCCCCTGGCAGCTAGGGCTTTTAAGGGAGATCAAATTAGTCTATGCAAAGCAGAGTAAAATATGAATATATTTTAAATCTTGTACACATGGCAAACGGATATATTTTTTCCAGAATATAATACTACATACCTGTATACCACTGTTATCTTGCTGAATTATGGACCAAAAAAAGTCGTCAACTATGACTTCACTTTGACTAGCGTTTATAGGTTTTCTTCATTAACACAAAAAATTATCTTAAAACCATAATTATGGAAATGCTTAAGTTTCCTTTATGTTTTAGAAAATATGAAAAGCAATTAGACAGATACATTGAAATAAACATAACTTTTTAATAGTTATAATCCAAACCTCTTTATCTTTCAGATTTCATCACTGTTACGCAGCCCTTCCAAAGCCTACCTCCCAGGCTCACTTGAGCGTGAGGGAGCTGACCCCTCACACACACACAACTTGAAATACCCACTAACTGCAGAGGCTTCTGGCCCTGCAGACTAACTCAAAAGAGAAATTCCTTTGAAGCTTCATATTTTACTTTAAAAATATATACATATTATATAGTTGCATTTGCTTTAAGATATATACAATACTTGCTAAATAATTATATCTGAAAAATTAGAGCTTTTAAAGCATTCTAAGGCGATCTGAAAGGCTTCCATATGTCTGAAATATTAAAAAGCACAGCAACTTACTCTGCCATAGCACCTGTTGAATTGAATACGTTTGCTTGATCATTTTACATTCGTCTATTTTTGTGTCCCTAATGTTAGCACGTTGCTTGGGACGCAATAGGCACTTATTAAATGGTTATGTCATAAAGTGTTCTCAAAAGTAGCTTCCATGGGTGAAGCGGGGCACATTGCTTAGCAGAAAGGATCAAGTCTGGAAATTCAGAATAGGGTGCCCAGGAAGCTAACAAGCCTTAAAGAGAAGTAAGATATGTGTAAGTTTTATCTTTCGAACTCCTATCTTTCCCTCAGAGCCAATCAGTGACCCAAAGCACCTAACCTGCACTCTGCCTAGCTCCATGCGTTTCATGAAAAATCCAATTTCGCACCCTCCTACACTGTTGGAGGGAATGTAAACTGGTACAGCCCCTCTGGAAAACAGTGTGGAGG